CTATTTATTGAGAAGTGCAAGGTCGCTGACTTTCCCAAGTTATTTCCATGGTGTCAAAGAATCAATGTGTGTGGCATCACCAACCAGGCAAATGGCTCTTCTATTAATGGAATATAAGAGCATTAGTGCATTTTCGAGTGCTGAACTCTAAGTGTTGGAACAGTTATCTGGAACAAGTCGCATTTATGCTTCGTAGATCATGAGAAGCTATTGAGGTCTGACATGGTTTTCTCATGAGAAAGTATTGCTGATAGAGATACCGAGCAAATATATAGGCAGTGGACTCGGTGGAACTGATGGTACCAGACATTTCGGACATACTGAGTTTGGCCTTTCTACAGGAAATACAGGATCGAGTTCTAGTGGTGTTGAATTCAACCAGGTTGTTGGTTCCACAGACTGTTATTTCAGCATGATACTCATGGTCAGATTTGACCTGCCATATGTATAATGTGATTGAAATATGGTTCATTATATGCAAGTGTTCATCTGATCCTAACCAAGGCTCAGTTAACAATATCTCATCAGGACCATTTGGGCTGTCTAGAAATACAATAGTTGATCAGAGTTGAGAATGATGAGAATAAGAATGAAAATGGAGATGACATTCATTCACAATACTGATGAAATGAAGATAATGATGTTAAGCATTACGAAGACTATTTTTTCCTCAGACCGATTTTCAAAAAGAGTGCTGATCTCCTTTCTCAACAGAGTATGAATTTGCGGCCACATTGCTGTGAGAACTGATGTTGAATATTCAGCTCTATTTGTGTTCAAATCAACAAACTCAAACTTCTGTTTCGATTCCAAAACCACATTATCACACATTGGTGCATAAAAGGTATTTTCCAATACATTGTGGATTTCGAATTCACTAGATTGTTCTGATTATCGATGAAAAACACAATCAAACAAGGAAAAGTTCATTGGACATAGACCTCCGAAAGAGTTCACCGCAGACACGTATTTCAGGCTCTCGGCCCCCATCAGTACGATGAAAGGAGTGCAAAAGATAGGCAATACTTGGCGAAAGACGAAACATCAAATTGACGGAGTCAACAAACAGAAGCCAGACGCACAATTGTGATTTCGGTCAGAAGACGCTGCATTTCCAGGGCTGCAACTGACGTCACCACGGAGGCAGCTATAGCTACCTACATGATATATGAGTTCAAAATGAGAATTTAGATGAAACGGATGTTGGGAGAAATGTTTTGAGCAAACTAGGAGAATGTTATTGGACATATCCCTCAGGAAGAGTTGACCATAGACACGTGTTTTGGGCTTTCGGCCCTCATCAGTACGGTGGAAAAAGTGCAAAAGGAAGGCAACACTTGATGGAAGACGGAACAACAAATCAACGGAGTCAACAAAGAGAAGCCAGCCGCACAATTATGGTTCCGGTCTGAAGACCCTGCATCTTCAGGGCTATAACTAACGTCACCACGGAGGCAGCTATAGCTTCCTACAAATCCGATAGTCCTCTCATCTCGATTCCAATCCTGGACTCGGATGTAACGTAGGTAGCTTCAGTTGCCTTCGTGGTGACGTCAGTTGTAGCTCTGAAAAGGCAGGGTCTTCTGACCGAAATCACAATTGTGCGTCTGGCTTCTGCTTAATGACTCTGTCGATTTGTTGTTTAGTCTTCCACCAAATATTGCCAATCTTTTGCTCTTCTTGCTCCGTACTGATGGGGGCCTAGAGACCGGAACACGTGTCTACGGTGCTTCCTGAGGGTAATGTCCAATGATTTTTTCCTAGTTTGCTCAAAACAGTTCCCTCGATATTCCTTTCATCTGAAGAACATCATGGTAAAAATTTTTGTAAGACGTGCAAATCGGTCGATAATATAATCCATTCTAGTGTCAAACTCCAAGGTAATCATCAGGTTCTCATTTTCACCTATATCCAAGATAATTTCCACTTCTGAATTCAGAGTTTTGAATTTTTTTATATATTCGTACATCGAAATTAAATAATTATTCCGACCATCATTTGCTTGCAATTTGTCTTCCACCTGATTGATTTGATCATTGCTGGACCATCAATATTATGTAAATTGAAGTAGGGGGTGTCATATCAATGTTCATTCATTCTTTCAATCGACCTACTCTTCCTGAAAATTGTAATTACCGCTGATCAGACGATATGCAGGGTGATGAGTATTGAAATAAAGCTCTTTCTGAAAATCTCAACACTCCTGTATACAGATTAACCCCAATATTGAAAATATGAATGATATTGTCAACAAGAGATGAATGAAAATGTTATTTCTGTGAAAAAAAGACTATTTCGAAAGATTGTTGAAGTTATGCTATAACTTGGTTGATACCCGAGCCCAAGCGTTTTATTTCGTCAAGCTCAGGTGTATCGAATATATCGATAATCTCAATCATGATGTTGTCATGAAATGTACATGATGAGGTGGTCTGGAAAAGGCGCTTATGTTTTATACACCAGCTCATAGCATACCCTGATCTGTATTTGAAAACCATCAATGTTATTATGATGTCTATCTGCATGACATTTCTAAGATACCCTCATTTGAGATGATTTGAAATCGAAATCATAAATGAAACTAAATTTCAAAAATATAGGGAAGACTGATGAGGAAATATAGAACAACCCCGTCGAGTTTAACATTATAATGAGTTGTTCACTGTTATGAATATTATTTTGTATATAGTTTTACGAATTTCGAAAATATTTTCGTTCGTATAGATGGTTGTGTTCATATGTTATGGTTTACTATCAGATAGATTATAATATGATTGTTTCAGTAGAATGATTTGGGTTCGTGTAAAAAGTATTCGAGATCATGTGAAAATTCCGAGAATAGATTATGATTTATTAAATCCGTGTTAGTATCGAATTCATTACCCAACCTATATACAATCATAATTGTTCTTGTCCTTATTGTGTTCGAGAACTATTCCTTATGCGTTATGAACTATTCAAACATGATTGGCAAGAAGAAAGTGTAAGAGTATGACATAGTCACTTATGATTTCGACATCCAATTTGAAGATGAATTGATTCACTGCATTCATATCCAATATACGAATAATGAATTGCCTCAAAAGAACTGAATAGGGGAGGGATTCACATTCAAATATATATAAATATCTTCAGAAATATGATGAAGTCAGTAGTGTCTTCTACCATCGTCTAATTTGCAATCGACATGAAAGTGGTAGGTATAACCTCATTAAATTTGTTGCTCATGAGAATGCATAATATTGAGATATTCATCTTTTATTTGATTGGCAATATAATAGTTAGTCGGTAAGTGTTAATCGTGCTCCCGGTATTGCACGAGAGATCGGCTTGTGAAATCGAGATAAATATTGTGATGAATAATCATTAACAATTATTATTATTTGACAATGGAAAGTGATGATTCACGAAGAGTAGGTAGAGGTATCTGACTATCGATCCAAATATAATTATGTTTCACGTCTTGAGTTCACGGACAATCCTTCTGGAAAATATGCTGCTGTATGCTGATGACTTAATCATATTTAGTGATTCACAAGTTGATCTTGCTCGCAAATTGAAAACTCTGGAAGAGTATTCAGCAGAGAATAAGTTGACCGTCAACACTCAAAAAACAAAAATTATGGTGTTCTGCAGGGGTGGGTACCATTTCAATTACAATAACAAATTTTATCTCTACAATGAACCATTAGAAGTTGTAAAAAAGTACTCCTATCTTGGGGTGATATTTTCTTCTTCTACTTGTTTTCTCGAAATGTCTAAGGATACCGTAACTAAATCAAATCGTGCTATCGGGGCTGTTATGAATATCATGTGCAGATCTAAGATTAACTCATGGCACGCTAGAATTAAATTGTTTGAATCCATAATTGTGTCATCCCTTGCATATTCCATTGGAATTTGGGGACTACGTTATGTTGACGTTATAGAACGGATTCAAGTTAATTTTTTCAAACGTTTACTGTCACTCCCTAAAAATACTCCAGACTATATTGTTCGTCTGGAAACTTCCTCAATAAAACTTTCTCATCTGATTTTCACTGCTGCTCTTTCACATTTTGCACTTCTCAACTCAATGGACAACCATCGACTACCAAAGCTCTGTTTTTTAAGATTGCTCAGACTTGATAACGTTGATCCTAAATACAACTGGGTATTGCAGGTCAAACAATACTTCTCTTTTGCCGGAATGGTCGATCGTTGGCAACAGTTTCTGCTCAATAGTTCCAAGAAAGCTATAACTTCTCTTCTGCACAAATTCAACAATGAACTTTTAAGCATTGATTTAGATAGTTTGAGCCAATCTTCGTATCCTCTCATTTATAAAAGTCTCTCTCTACGGGTAAATGTTCAAAACTACCTCAAAGCGCCCGTTCCCATCTATATAACTAGAATTATCGCTCAACTAAGGACATGCAGTAAGTCGTTCTTTAGAATTACCTTCAATCGAATAGTGTATAGAATAAATACTGAAGAAGAATGCACTGTTTGCAATCTCCACAGACCGGAATCTTTGGAACACATTCTCTTTGAATGTCCAGTTTATGCTGGTATCAGGGATTGTCGATTATTTCAAGACGTTGAATCTCTTGATGATTTAATATATCTTCTGAATTACGGTGGCCTAGCTGACTTGAAACTCCTAGTACAGGTTCTGATCAATTTGTTGAAGCTCAGATTTTTTGCTGTGAATGAGTAATTTGCATATCAATTATTGTTTCAATGCCTATGTAGGTCCCGCAGGAAGGATTTTTTGTTTTCGTTTTAGCTATAAGTTCTCATGTATTATTAATCACAGATCACCCAACCCTTGTAATAAGAATTTTTGTAATTCTTATAACACAATAAATCTATCTATTTTTATCTATCTATCTATCTATGTTGTGTTCCAAAGTGATCTTGCCAAACTTCATTAGCCGCCATCACGTTGAGAATCAAGAGAAAGTACTCATGAAGATGAGATACTAGTTGTGAAAATTTCAATAAGAGCTGAAGTATTTCTGATATAATAATGATCGCCCTGAAGAATGAAATTCGCGAATTCCATCGAATTGTGTTACAATGCAAAAATAGAATAGATTTTTATCAAATATGGAATAATTATGTAGGTATTGGTTTGGTTAGGGCACTAATCACGATCTGTTGCGGTTAATTATACGTGTATTTCCACTTTCATAATCAAAAAAATATTCTACTCATTAACATCATTCAACCAACGCTTCAATAACTTCTTGATAACTAAATATTCGATGAATTTTCAGTTCATAAGTACATTGTAGTGTTGATTTTGGTGGTGGTGAGTTTTGATGTTGACTCAAAGACGGTTGACGATAGAATCTAGTTTATTTCCCAATTGATTATAATAACCGATTATGCTTAGGTGGAAGTGCATTGCACTTCAGTTGTACTTTGTTCGCTTATTTCAAATATCGACCTAATTATTGTGCAACGTTAGAGTTTTGCTGAATAGCACTACACCTCCCCCCTTACAATAAAATGAAATTTTACAATTCGTTTCTAAATTTAATTAACCTATTATTATTGACAATTTTAGGATGATCATCAATGAGAATTGTAGAATTAACTCCATCCCTGTTTATAATCCTAAATGGACCTTTATAAGGTGCCTCTAACTTAAGTTTTGCGCCTTTTTTCAACATAACTAAATCATTTATTTTGAAATTTGATGGATTTGCATTTTTATCATAATTTATTTTACGTTTTTCCTTAGCTAAATTCAAGAATTCTCTTGCTCTCTTGTGAGCTTCGTGTAATCTGAATTTGAGCTCATTAGAATAATCGTCTATATTATATGTAGGTGAATTTTTACTAAGATTGTTATCGGGTAAATTAGCTATTTTTCCAAACACTAATTCGTATGGAGAGTAATTTGTATCACAATGAGGTGTGATATTGTATGCAAAAACAAAATATGGTAGCCATTCGTCCCAGTCGGAACTGTTAGAATATGATACTAGATATTCGTTTAAAACTCTGTGAGTTCTTTCAATACCGCCTAAAGATTGATGGTGATAGGGTGTTGAAGTGGCATGTTTTATTTGGAAAAAATTGTTAATTGATTTCTGCAATGCATTTATGTATTCTGTTCCTAAATCTGTCTTTAATGTCTTGAAAATTCCAAATTTCAAAATAAATTCTTCAGTTAGAGCTTTTGACACGGTTTTAGCGTCCTTACTATCTAAAGGTATGGCTTGGATGAATTTCGTAAAGTTACATTGTATGGTTAAGATATATCTCTTATTATTTTCTGTCATCTTCAGTGGACCTACAGTGTCAACTGATACTGATTCAAAACTAGATGATGGCGTTTCAGTAATGATTAGTGGTTCGACCGTATGTCTGATAACTTTACTTTTATTACATTCTTCACAGTTTGATACATGTTTTTTTACCATTTTGTACATGTTCTTCCATACATATTTTTGTTTTAATTTATTCAGTGTACGTTTCACACCTGTATGACCTCCAATTTTGGAATTGTGATATTCGGTTATCAATTCATTCTGCAAATTGAGAGATTGAATTCTTTGTGGTGGCTTATACAATAAAATTCTTAGTTTTGGTACATAGTCCTTATATATATCGTTATAAATTTGTTTGAATATTGTGACATGCATGTATGTAAATATATTATCATTTATAGGCAATGCTAGCTTTGGATATTCGTTCATAAGTTTCTCCAAAACAAGACCTAAGTTGTGTTTTAGATTATCGCTTGACAACGAAACTTTCACAATTCTATCAAAATAAATTTTTGCCTTCAGTTTCTTCTGTTTCAAAATATTATTAGTGTCTTTTTCGTCATAAATTTGGAATTCCAATTTCTTCACTTTGTTTATTTCGGTTAGTGACGTAACTTCCCAAGTCCCCAGTTGATCAGGCTGGTTTCCTTGAGTGTCTTGTCGTGCTTTCAAGTCTGGTTCGTTTATATTTTTGGTCATGGAACGTGTAGTGATAGCTACTGTCGGTATCATGGCTTTCAACATGTCCGAGTCTAAATGTATACGTGAAAGAGCATCAGCATTTACGTTTTCACGTCCTGGTTTGTATCGTACTTCAAAGTCATAGTCTTGTAAGTCTAGGCGAATTCTCATTAATTTGGAAGATGGATTTTTATGGGTAAACAGTCCAACTAGTGGTCTATGGTCTGTTATTACTACGAATTTTTGTCCATACAAATACGGGCGAAAGTATGTAATGCCCCAATGAATAGCTAATAGTTCTTTTTCTATTATGGGTTTGTTCAATTCGTGTTTTGTTAAACTTCTACTCGCGTATGATACTGGACGGTCGTTTCCTGGGTCACCTTGTGATAATATACATCCCAATGCAAAATTCGATGCATCTGTTGTCAAGAGGAACGGTTTGGAGAAATCAGGAAATTGTAAAGTGACTGGATCGATTAGCGTATTTTTCAGAGTTTGAAAAGATTTATCACACTCAGATGTCCAATTGAATACGGCATTTTTCTTCAACAACCTGTATAGTGGATGGGCAATATCGGCAAAATCTGGTATGAATCTACGATAGTAGTTCATGAATGCGGTGAACCGTCTAACATCGTCAGCGTTTTTAGGTGTTGGGTAATTTTTTATGACATTGTGTTTTTTTGGATCTGGACCTACGCCTTTGTCTGAAATTAAATGTCCCAGATATGTTACTTCTTTTTGCAAAAAGTTGCATTTTTTTGGATTCAGTTTCAAATTATGCTTTCTACATCTGTTGAAAACTTTAATTAAGTTGGAATTATGATGTTTAATGCTGCATCCGAAAACAATGATGTCATCAACGTATAGAAAAGCATCTGCATCTAATCCTGACATTGCGATTGTAATCATACGAGAAAAACTATTAGTTGATATATTCAAACCGAAAGGAAGTCTTTTGAACTGAAAATGTCCACTATTTGTCGAAAATGCTGTAAGATGTCGAGATTCGTTCTCTAATTCTATCTGGTGAAAAGAACTAGCTAAATCTAAAGTTGAAAAGTATTTGGCTCTTCCTAATTGATCCAATATATCTTCGATATGTGGTAATGGAAATTTATCGGTAATAATTTTCTTATTTAGCTGACGGTAATCTACTACTAATCTCCATTTCGGCTGTTCATTGTCAGATTTCTTATTGACTATCAATAATGGTGAGTTATAGGAACTTACGGAAGGTTCAATAATATCGTTTTCTAGCAATTTCGAAACTTGTTTGTTAATTTCTTCCTTTTGTGAATTTGGCAACCTATAATTTTTTGCATAAACGGGGTCTTTATCAGATAATCTAATCTCTTGCTTGTAGAAATTATTGGCTTCGAGTTTGTCACCATCTAAATAAAATATATCATTATAATTTTTGCATATGTCTAAAATTGATTGTGAAGCGTCGTCATCTATGCTGTTAATTTGTAATTCCGTGAGTAATCTAACTGACCTATCCTCGCTATGAGTGTCATTGTAAGTTGATATTGTACATACTTGGTAATATGATAACGGTTGTATATTTGGATTAATGTCTTCTAATATGACATCGTTGCAAGTTGTGTTTACTAATCTTATATGTGCAACACCGTTTTTTGGTACTATAGTATTACTGATGAATATTCCTTCTTTTATCTCTTGACTTAAAACTAAACTATCTTCACTAAACTTCCTGTTGATAGCATGAATGATTTCTGTACGCGCTGGTATTTTTATTAAGTTTAGATGAGGTAATTTTACTTTCATTGACATAACATGTTCTTCATCATCGAAATAAATTGTTAGAGTCCAAATGTTGTAATCTATTTTGCAATTGAATTTTGACAAGAAATCCCGGCCTATTATACCGTCAGTTGCAATCGGAAAGTCGTTAGTCACTAGATGAAAATCAAATTGTAAATTTCGACCATTTATGTCTAGAAAAGTTGTTGTTAATCCGAGGGTTTCGGTTTTATTTTTTGTTATTCCACCTATTTCGCACTTTTTTTCTGGATAGTAAATTTGATCAGGTTTTATGTCACCTATTTTGCAAAGACTAATGTCGGCTCCGGTGTCAATTAGGAATGTTGTGACTTTACGTGTCATTCTGCAGTAAAATTCTACGTAATTGGTATTATCAGTTGTTATGAAAATTAATTTATGTCCAACTCTCTCATTCTTTCTTGGCATTGAAAGAGTTGGCTCTGGTCGTTTCCCGAATTATTCTCTTGGGAGGAGGCTTGAGCTGTGTGAATATTATATGAGGTACGGCCTCCATTAGTTGGGTGTGAATATTGATTATTTGTTCCACGGAAATGGGTTCTACCACGCGAATTATTCTGAGGAGTCTGCGATCTGTGTGATTGAAATTGATTATGGTATTGCCTATTATTCTGGTAAAATCTACTATCGTTGTGTTTTCGTACAAAGTTATTTGATTTGCGGCTCCTATCTTGGTAGTTATTATTATAACGATAATTTCCTCTTCTATTATGGTATGAATTTTGAAAATGAATTTTTTTGACGTGATACATCTTATTTGGGTCTCCTGAAAATTTTCCTGAAACTTCAGCTTCTAATGCTATTTCTACAGCTTCGCTAAAGGTATTTACTCTCGATGATAAGACAACAGTTCTGATTTCTCTATTAAGACCATTTTTGAAAAAATTGAGTGCTTCTTGATCGGTTAATTTCAAGATAGTCTGGCGTGCATTGTTACCTTGTGAAGCTATATGTATCTGATTTAGTTCGTTAATTAAGCATTCTATTTCAGCAGCGTATGCTGAAACTGATTTTATACCTTGATTGGTTTTACTCAGTTCAAAATGTACTGATGCAAGTGTTTTCCTTGGCTTGAAACGATCGATCAGGCATTTTTTTAATTCATTAAATGTTGTAGGGGTGCCAATAATTGCATTTTTGGCTTTTCCCTTAAGCTTTATTTTTGAAAGAAAATTCAGAAGTAGTGATTTGTTTGCATCGTCTTTCAAAGAATCATTGTAATATTCGGCAGAGTCAATAAAGTCAGTTACTTTTTCTTGGTCACCAGCAAAATCAGGTATGATTTGGGAAGCTACTTTGAAATCAAATTCCATTGTTGAATAAGTTTTGTTGTCAGTCGAGTTGTCAGTTTTCGCAGCGATTTTGATCAAATTTTGCAGTTTAGAGTTTGAATCGTTAATTAATAATGTTGCTTCAAGTTTTATATCACTTAACAATAATTTATCTGCAAGACTAGCAGTTTCTAAGAGAGAACTATATTGAGAATTAAAATTGTTTTCTAATTCTGATAATTGGGCACATTTTTGTATTAAACTTTCCTCTTTGTAAACTCTATTTGGACCACCTTTTTTCAAATTGACACGAATTTTCTCTATCTCAGCTTTAGTGGCTAATAATTGTTGGATAGATATCATTAGGCATCAAAATTCGGCAATACAATGCAAATTAAAATATTTAAATATGAACAAAAGTTACTGATATGCATAGTGCATAGGCATAAATGCAATAATCAAACGAAAATATTCGAGATTCATATGGGTACTCATCACTAATCCTCTTCCTTGGGGCTTGCTCCTGGAGTCCTCTTGCATCTCCTAATATTCCTCTGTGGTTGGTTTTTCAGCTCGCGCCTTCGATGGGTGTCTTTGGCACTGCACTATATGTCTTTTTATTGTTTTGTCTCTGCACTGACGCGGGTCACTCCTAATATAGTTTTCCTTGTGTTTTTATACACTGCTGGTTGTCACTTGTGCTCTAATATTTCGCACTACACTGTTAGCAATTGATTTTTTGAAGTATTTAGTGTACAAATAAACTCCAATACAGCAGAGCAGGATCACGAACATAGAAATCATTGTTCCAGCGATGATGAATGATGAAGTGAGATGAGCGCTAGCGACGTCTTGGTTAGTTTTGTTGATTTGGTTAACCTGGACCTCGTGGTTGTTTTCTTCTTTGGTGTTCTGATTTCCCATATTCGTAGCTTATTTGGCAGGATCCAGTAAATCAGTAAAGTATAAAATTTTGTTATCGCGCACTCACATATCCCGTTTTTGAAGAAAATAACTTGCTTCTCAAATTAGCAGGATTCTTAAGTAGTCATCAGGATCCTTGAATTGGCAGGATTCTTAAATTGGCAGGATTCTTAAATTGGCAGGATCGCCATGTAGTGTTGATTTTGGTGGTGGTGAGTTTTGATGTTGACTCAAAGACGGTTGACGATAGAATCTAGTTTATTTCCCAATTGATTATAATAACCGATTATGCTTAGGTGGAAGTGCATTGCACTTCAGTTGTACTTTGTTCGCTTATTTCAAATATCGACCTAATTATTGTGCAACGTTAGAGTTTTGCTGAATAGCACTACAACATCGTTTTTTTTTTTAAATCCTCGATACTAACTAATTAACTAACCCGTAGGAATACGAAATTACTTATTTGTTGCTACATAGGGTGAATTATATTGGATAACGATTGATCATAATTTTGACAGGTAGCAGTTCTTTTCACCATATTTGGCCTCTCATGGTCCGCTCAGCTGCCACAACAAGCAGGTTCCGAAATTCCGATAGTTCGGTACGAGAATGAGGGAGTTAATGCCGATGGATCTTATCAATGGAGGTAAGGTGTTATAAAAGTTTAATCATCACCACTTGAACCAATTCCATGAATCTGAGGATATTCACAAACGTAGTCCAATTGAAAATGCAAGCTGCATACGGGTCTGAATGATCCCTATCGCTTCATTGTTTTTTGGGAAATTATTCTTGAGGTTTGAAAAATCTATGATTGAATATTTGAACAAAAAAACTATTGAGATGATACAAAATTCAACATCAAAATGTCCGGAGATGAATTTCCTAGACAATGAAACTTCAGTTCCAATCAGAAAAATCGAACCTATGAAGACCTCATGACTTTTTCATTATATACTTCATAGGTGAATATAATAACTTATGTTCCTACTAGAATATTTCTGGAAAATTGCATTGAATCACTGATGACGCTATATACAGGGTAATTCATAATAATCTATTTTGAAAAATCATAGTTCATGATGAATAGGTTATTACTGACTTAATGCAAAATATTTTCCTTGGAAACTATATTCACATAGATGATCTGAACAATAATCACATCTCAAATTCAATCACTTGGTATGTTCCCTCAAAATACTCCTGACTTCGATCATGCTCAGTTTCACATAAGAAGAGGGGGGCAAGTTGAAAACGAGCATGACACAATATTTCATAAACTGATGACACTATGAAAAATTGGCGGAATACGTCAATTGAAATATCAATGGGAACAACTTTTAGGGTATTTGTTGTTACATAACATTCAACCCCTTCACCCTCAGGGCAACTACCCCTGGAATTTTAAATAGCAACCCTCATTTATTTTCCATTTTCAGAGATCCTCATGTGATTTCAGATTCGTGACAGCTACTTTCTATTTTTTTGTTTTAAAAATCACAGTACTCAACCTCACGAATACTCTGATTGAGATCAATTATAATGATGAATGAACCTATGTTCAGAATCCACTTTGAAAATTATCCAGAATATTCGAGATTTTCATGCAGTCATCAGTCGAAGAAATATAAAGTGCTGCACATTATCGAATTGTCACCCTGTGTGAGTGCTATCAATTGGATATTCGTGTCATTTCGAATATACCCTTCATCAAGATGACAAAGTTCTTGAATCAAGTGATCACTTTCAGTGGCTTGAGTAGTTCTCAATTCATAAAATTGACTTGATATTCTCATAAATTCCAAAACACTTCACTTGGGTCCCTTATCAGTTGAAAAGGAAAACATTATCCCAAACTTCACATGATTCGCACAAGAAATGGCGAGAGATATAACATACCAACTTTTAACTTCAGAGAAAAAAATGTTGTAACGATGACCATTGCATTTGATGGTTGACAGAATATCAAAATGTCAATTTTGGGATGGATCAATCAGAATCCGTTGAAATGAAACTAATCGACACATATAACCTACGCAATATTGCATCATTATTTGGTTCTGAAATTGGGTGCCTGCACCTTTCATAATCAACTCAATTTGATTGCTAGTTCAACGAAATATCTCGATGAAGTACTGAACATCTTCTACTGAACATTTTTTCTTCAAGCAATCTATTCAAGTTTACTCAGGAGTACATGTTTGTGCTATACATATGCTATGGAGAAAATGGCAGACCGTTGGTGCGTGTCCAAGTACACTAAAACCTTGAAAGCATGCTTTGATGCATGAAGAATCCGGTCGGACTCTTTTATGTACATTTTATAACATCAAAATATATATGTCGGCGTGAATAAGTGAAATCTGTCTTACCTGAAATCCCTAGTCATTTCACGAATTGTCGGCAAACACCGTAACAGCGTTACTTCCATTTTTAGCCGGCACTCTGTTTGCCGAAGGGTTGTGGAAGGAAAATATCCTTTCTGCATATGCATAAAAAAACAGAATATTTTCCGCTTGGATGAACATTGTTCCTAGAAAGTATATTCCTCAGAAAATAACTTGGGAGAACAGAAGAGGTTACTGCTTCTAAACAACCTAAGCTGATTCGGCCTGAATTTTGTTACTGAGGAAATATCCAAAAAATACTCATATGAGAGTATGACATGTTCTCTTTGATTATTGAAAACATCTAGAAATACAGTTCTCAGAGCGCCTTGCGATACATATATAATGGTTTCATCTCGTTCCATGGAGATTGATCATTGATGGTTATACTGAAATTAATAATTTGTTACATTGCATTCTTCATCACAATCGGAAAATTATATTGAACTGAACAAATTAAAATAGAATTCCATTTCAGTTACGAAACTGGCAATGGTATCTCAGCACAAGAGCAGGGTCAGATCAAGAATCCATCAGCAGCAGAAGGAGGTGCAGCGGAAGTGCAAGGCTCCTACCAATACACCAGCGATGATGGCACCCCAATTTCCTTGACTTACATCGCCAACGAAGGTGGATTCCAACCTCAAGGTGCTCACTTGCCTACTCCACCTCCCATTCCAGAAGCTATTCAGAGGTCCTTGGAATGGAACGCAGCTCATCCAGAACAAGAACAGCCTAGTCAGCCCCAGAGATCTCAAAGAGAGGCACCAAGGGTTCAACCAGTTAATAACAACCAGCGGTTTCAGAAGCGATACTGAGATTATCTAATTATGATGTGGATATTTTTTGTACAAATATGAAATAAACTACCATAGACTGCCTATATACTGTTTTTGTTTCTGATAATGATATGCTGACTTGAAATCTTATATTATTTGGTGATCATTCTGGAAGAATACAGACATTATCGACTGGAAATGCTCATGCAATACTTTCAAAATGGGATGAATTCCTTGGATATTGAGTCACGGAAACAGCTCAAAAACAAAAGGCAATTAGGATATCGAAGCATTTTTCTTCCATTTCAGACAAAAATATCACGTAAACTTGCAATTCCGAATTCTTGTGTAAATTTAACTGTATCAGCGAGCTAGATGATTCGTCTGCAATCAAACCTTCCTAGCAAATGTCACTATGTGGTATTCTGAATGAATGAATTGTGCGACTGATGGGTATATACAGGGTGTTTCGAAATTTGATCGACAACGATTGACAGGTAGCTCTTGTGATGTCATGAAAGCTGAAATACGGACATACGATCTTCAATTGTTCAGTTGTCGTGATACAGGGGTGGAGGTTAAAGGATTCGAATAGTGTCCTCGGAATAACTCAAAAATGATTGATTATTTTGCATTCGAAGTCGGTATATAATTTCATCATCAAATGGGTAGTTCATTGGCTAGGTATTTATTTCGAGCATTTGACCTAGTGGTGCGCTACTGAGAGCATGGTTACCTCCGATACTTTTCACGCCACTGATGATATTTTGGTTATTTCCAATGTCTAGAATTTATTGTTCAATTCTGTTCAGAAAATGCGTTACCTTCAGCTGAGTTGAAATAAACATTTCTCGAGATATTTGACCCAAAATAGTAGTTTGCATATTGATTTTTTCTCAATCTCTTTCTGCATGAAAAAAACAATTGCTGTCCAGCTACATGATGATATCTAGAAAGTTTCTCATCTGATCAAAACCAGAAAATCATTCTAGTAGCTTCCTACTACTGAAAATGATGGAAAATGTCTAGGAAATCTTCTATTCGGTGTCGAATATCTCAAAAACTGTTGATTTCACCTCAATTGTAGTAGATGCATTGTCTGAACGTAGGAAATATTGATTTTTTTTTTGAAAATTCAACACGACCTCCTGTTGCGCACCAGTGGATTCAATGTTCAGAAATATATTCTGGTCAAAAACTTACCCATCCGAAGAAGAAACTGCAAAGTTTTCAGTTGATATGAAATGGAATGAAGTTCAACCTTTTTATTCGGATAGTGATGAAAGCAGTATACATGACTACACATGAACTGAACAGGTAGCACATGATTAGATACACTGAAATATCTTCTTCCATAAAAAAAAATTATTCTTATTTATATAAAACTCCTGAGTTAATAATAGCCTATAAAAACATTTACAATTTTCGAATTCATAACTCGAACGCGATACTGGTGTCACTACACGTTTTGGCCTATAAGCTATGACTCAAATCATCTTTAATAGTTTTATTACTCTTACTTCCAGCATCTGGGCTGAATTCAACTTTTTCACTCTTACTTGTGTTTGTATCATTGTCTGTAGTACCCACATTCGATACAATCGAACTGGTAGATGGGATTTCATTTGACAATATCGGTAAGCTACTTTTATAATGATTCAACTGACGCTCCCGAGTTGCATTGCTCAAATCTGGGACTTCCACCAAATCTGTTGATTTCCCAATTGCGTTTATCAATGGTTTTTTCGCTTTCTTTCTGTGGTCCCTCATGATTTCAGTATCATCTATAGCCAATTCTATGAAAATTTTTCACCATGATATCTTTGTTGCTCAGATTTTTTACTGAGGACGCGATTCTCGACTCTTTTTCTGGTAGGAGTAAATCAAATCTGTCATGCACCTTCCTTCTGAACATTGAATTCGATAGACATAATCCTGATGTACGAGTGAACATCCCAATCACTACTCGAGAATCTCAGGTACCTACAGGAAAGGGTACCTACATGGATAGTTTTCCAGTCGAAAATCGGAAAACTATGAGTGATACCAACGAATTGATGTGGAGGAATCACATTAGGAATCAATATGTGAGTATAATGTTCAGGAATAAATGTATCAGAATGTCTAAATGGTCTTTATTCTGGGGCCCTTACTTTGACGCTCTGTTCAGAACAGGAGACTACTCTGGTATTTGACAGGGGGGGATTCTCGAGCGCCAGATTGTTTTTGAGGTAGTTTACTCTACCTGCTCTGCACAAAATATATTTTTTTGGTACAGAGGCCCAAAGTAGCAACAGTGGAGAAAGGTACAGGGTATACCTACCACGGTACCCACAGTATAAACCAGGGGTCGATGGTATTGAATCGACCTGGAATCAATAAGTAGCCAAGGGAGTGTAGGCTTTAATTACAAACCCTGGGTCTAGCCTGGATCAATAGTTGCTATTTCTGGTCTGGATAATTACAGGAATCTAAGCAAAATATCTCTCAGTTCTTTGGTATTTCAAGGTTAGGTCTGGAAGATTATTTACTCAACTATTTCAGCATTTATACCTGGAGAATCGGAATAACAGTTCCAAACGAATCCAACAGATTCAATTCCTATTTATCTTTCCTTTTCCTTCGATTTTCTAATTTTCCAATACCGGAATTTTAGTGAGGTTAATAAATTATATTTCTCCATTCATGTCAATAGTAGTTAATGACACATAGATCACCGCCTGACGGGACACAAAGCACAGAGACACCGGTGCACAGGACTAGATTTCTCAAGGAAAAGAAGAAGAAGAGTTGACCACTGGCTTGTCAGTGTCAGCTGTCACCGTCAGCCGTCAGTCAATAATAATAATCAGCAATTTGACAAATGAAAATATTGAAAATCACTAAATAAATTATTGAACTATTTGGAACTGAAAACAATGACAACAGTGAAGGAAATATGAAATATGCAATCACAAAATCCGTTTATTCGCAACTACAACTTTCTGGGTTCGTTAACAGGTCGGGTGAGTATCGGTTTTGAAACATCACAGGAATGAAATGAAGCTATAAACAGGATGAATAATAATGGTGAAAACTATGATACAAACTTACATGTGCTACAGGCAATCACTATACAATAATATTTTACACTGGTTCTGAATGAACTATGAGAGCACTAAAAGATCAGCAAGAGAATCAGGAGCTTGAAGAGCAACGGAGATCAGGTGGTGTAGACTTGTAGAGAAGAGCTTGGAGAGTCTCGAATCCTTGACTGTCTTCAGTATTTATGCACTGCTTTGGCCTTGGCACAAGGACAAGTAAATCTGGAATCTCATTGGTCAAAACTCCCACCTTGTCATGGCTCATGGCCATGGCAAGGAAAGCACATGTGCACCTCCAACACAAAACGCGGAAAAAATAATATTACACCCTAAATGGCCACAGGAACAGGATCTTCTACCTCTGCTTATGCTACTGAATGAATTTGGCTTGAAAATATTCAATAACAACAAAGTTATGAGCAGTCAAACATTCATCATTTCAACTGATAAATAATTCAATAAAATTTCATATCATGAGCGAAGGGTTGAAAAATATGGAAGTCTTTAGGGTTGTAATGGTGTTCATGAGAGTTTACTATCAGGAAAAGCTTTGTGAAGTCAGGAATCGATGCATTACTCAGCTCTCTCAGGTTTTCAGGTTTCGAGCTTTCGAACAGCTGAAATTCAACTAGACTCAGGCTCAGGTACTTAGATTTTGATCAAAACCAGTCTAGTAATGAAGCTGGTCAAAAACACTTCATTACAAAGGATGATGATGTTTGCGAACAGAATGAAAACATTTCTCATCTGAAATGAATATCTAGAAGCGATAAGGTTAGACTCAATTAGGTTATTTTATCAATGTTTCATGGATATTCTGCACCAAACACGAAATATTATTATGTCTTGTAGGTAAATACCTCCTTGAAAATCGAGCTTTGGTAATAGGCAGTCCCTTATTTCATCGAAAGTTTGTGTGTAATACTGGGCACCTATCCTAGCCCTTCATCATCATCAAGCTACAATATGAGGGACTCAGGAAGAATTTGATGCATATTGATGTAAGATTTTCACCTTCATGATAATGTGCCCATATCTTATCTTTCTGCATGATATCAGCTGATGAATGTTCCGAACTCCCTGCTTATGTTACCTTCATATTGCTTCTATAGTCGATACATTAGATCAGTAATGAGATCAATCGATTTTAGGGGGAAATCAGATGATTTGACTTGCAAGAATATCTAGTTCACAAGATTTCATGAAAAAACACGAGCAGAGTGGTCCCCAGGGGGCAGTGAATAGAATCAGAAACCTTTCATCCTGTAGTTCGATGAGCTGAATCCAGATATACAGTAGAAACAACGATTTGTTTCCTGAAAATAGCCAGTCCTCAGCATTTTATTCGTCCTCAACTCATATACACTCCAATGTATATCTAATTCATTCATTCTTCAAGCAATCAATTTGATGTGATCACACTATCAGGACCATTTTCGTAGTGAATCAATCATTTTGTTCACCGATGGAATATCTGAATCCAGTAGGTTCAGTGGGTGAATAATTCGAAGGTTGTCCTACTTTCGAATAAATCATACTCAAGGGAGATTTCTGAGTAAATTTCATCTGAACTAAGGAAATTGATGTAAACGATATGAAATCTCAATATCATTCCTGACTGAATCGAATCGAGTCTTGTTGAATTTATATTTTTTTTTTTCAGTATTGGTTGAAAGATGGTAACTCAGTTGCCAAGATACAAACCTATTTCGGATTTTCTAAATATTGTGCAATTTTGGGTATTGTCTTGTATTTCCTTATTCAACCCACGGTCTCCAAAACGTCGCTTTACTGCTAGTAGTTGTCGTTGTGGAGAGGCATCTGCCAAGCAAGTAGCCCCCCATGGATCTTAGCCATATATTACTACCAGATTTCAATATGTTCATGTTTTATATGTTTCATAATAGGTATAATATATTTTATATCCATCAATCTGATTTTGTCTCAAAAATATACAATAGGGAAGATTATCATGCAAAGTTACAATGAACAGAACAAATTATCTATAATGCATTTCTCGA